ACAACGAATACGGTGTAGGAATATTCCTACACTACATGCATGCTACACATCTCTTTCTCTTCTTTTGATTTTTTTGTATCCTGAGCCCACGCCTCCGACCATCGCCCATTTGGTAACGTCGACTTCAGTCAACCTTGGCGAAAGTTGGCCTGATCACCCACGCTCTCGTCAACGCACTCAGTCGATAATCAGGTCTCGATTCCGCCTGGCATACGTTTGGTCGTCATGGTCGCCTCCGGTTTCTTGGCTCAACGTGGTTTCGTCCTTAGTCTGCAGCGTTTTCTGGGCCCTACGAAAGCAATGGTTATATGCTGGATACAAACCACTCGGAAGTAGTATGCTAACTCGAGCAACAAATACAGCACACTTCCCCTGGTACCGTTCTCCATAAAAGACTCTCGTTGGCAACTCGAGGATCAACGCACGCTTTCTGTTTCGCCATATCTGCCGTCCTACAATCGCTCTCTGGCCGATCAGCCCCACGAAACAAACTGCCACTTATCGAAAGTGTGAACTCTTTCTAGCGGTCAGCTCCTGTTTGTAATGTTTGTGCTTGTTATATAGCTTTTATCCCAGTTTATTAATTGTTTGACTTATTTTTTGCTCACAACCTGGGTTTATGTTTAGTCAGCCTAATGTTGTGAAATTTTGAAAAAATCCTCAAAGTCTTGTAATGACCTGCTTCTATCACAAGAACGCGATTGGTTCAATGAAAACAATTATTATTAGAATCAATTGTACCAGTGATTATTTTACTGTGTTCGTTTGTTTAACTGTGCTAATGATAGCTATATTGCCCTTTCATTGGCCTCCATCACATTCTGCGCTGTTTGTGACTCTGTACGCACGTACTCCTTCCTGTCAATTCCACTTGTACCATTTTAGCACGATCTTGGTATTCGTTCGATACCACGAGATCGCCAACGAATAAACTTGGTTACAATCTGTAACACGTTATCAGCAGTTATGTAATAACTAAGAATCTTAATTGATGTATTAAATTAAGGATTCTGTAACGGAATGAGAACGATGAAAATCCCTCCACAGCTTTTTTGTTGGACAGTATTTTTATTTATTTGTTACTTCTCCCTGTCATATATTTTAACCTTTGTTCAGATCTCGTTTGAGCTTTTATTATGTGATTTTGATTAAAAATTTATCTTTTATTACCTAATTTTCTATTGCATGTTGCCGGACTATTGATATTAAGGTCGTGTTTGACTATGCTCAAGGGTCACGGCGTGACTCAGTATTTGACTGTTAACTTTTTGACTGTCTGCTTGGGAAGATTTCTGGAATCCCTGCAGATAGATATTTGATCCCGTTTGTTGGGAATGTATTTGTTGATTCTCAGGTATCGAACCCTTGGGTATTAACTGTTTCTTTTATTGTTTAGCGCACCACTTTGCGTTAGACAAACTTCTGACTGTCTGGCACAGACTGTACCGTTTGAGGTATTTTGTATTTTTGATATAATTTGTTCTATTTCTTAAATTATAACCGTATAAATTGAGCACAGAGTTTGTGTTTTGATATAATTTAATACGAGTGTCTCAAAAACGCTTGGTAAACTGTACAGAAGAGCGTAGTCTGACCTATTCGAATAAATTTTGGCTCGTCAGTTCTGCGTTCAGCCCGAATACTGGTATTTCGGTCGGTACACAATCTATTCTCGCCTTCTGATTTGTTTTGTACGCGCTCAAGTTGTAGTGGTGTTCATAGTCAATCGCGATTTGACTCCACACTACAGTCTCATGACCTTCCCCCGAAATTCGGAGAAACTTCGGGGGAAAACCCCAAAGTATGTGTTGCATTCTGGAACAGAATGGAGGGCCTGTTATTTTTATCTCAAGACGATTAAGCAAGGATGGACAAAAATATTCTCAGACCCCGAATGAGGCTTTGGCTATCGTATGGACAGCAGAAAGACTGCAGAAACATCTTTTTGGTGTAAAATTTCATAATATAATTGGTCTCAAGGCGTTAAAGTTTATTTACCATACCTTTATTCGCCTCATCGATCATCTGCTGACATGGTTCAGAAATGGAATTCAGTGTTCAGTGCTTATGATCTCACCATTGAGCACTGAGACAATAAAAGCATATCGCATATAGATTTTCTATCACACCATTTATACTTCAAAAGACCATCTAGTGAATGTGATTGTATTTTGGTTTTGCCATTACCTGTAGACATGGCAGAATACATAAAAGATGCCCCATAACTCGAATTTCATTAATTGTTGAAGTTTTAGGCTTATTGGCATTGATTCTATTATGCTATATTATTTTAAATTCACGAAACTATTCTTGTCAGGCTGCGCTGACCAGGGTTGACTTATAACAGATATGATTTAAAGACTATTTGAGTAATAACAGATAGAATTATTAACGTCTCAGGTAATCCTTTCTAGATGCTATCTATCCTTTGATGCCTGTCTCCAATTCTCTCCCAATTCACTTTTGCTTTTATCTTCAGGATTCCGAGTTACAGCTAACATCGTGAAACAGTCTGATAATTTTGGAAACGTATGATCTATCCACATACAAAGTCTTTTCCTAATTCCCTCTTCAGAGAGAAGTTGGTTTATTCTCTTCATCAGTAGGCTGTTGCTGATGGTATCCGTCCAAAGGACACTGAGTATCTCGCGTATATTATCTTTTTAAAAATACCTGTGCATTCATGATGATGGTTGTAATAGCTCTTTAGGTTTCAGCTCCGGTGTTTAACTTTTGGAAGACAGTACGAAGCGTTGACGATAATTTATCACAGTATATCACTAATCACAATCCGAGTGGCCCACAAAACAAATACGAGAGAAAATGTGAGTACGAATGAATGTCACAGTATAACAGCTAGTTAGTCAGGGCTGTGTGCATACAGATGATGAGATATGTCAAGAGATGCAGATTCACGTGCATTTCGGGAGGAATTTCATTTTTTGATTAGCTGGTTTAAAATGTGGTTTAGACATATCAACGCGGCCGAGTGTGTTTACATGCACGTTGGAAATGCAAATGTAAATAGGTACAGCTTAGAGGATGTGTCAATGCCTGTACTGCTATCCATCATTCATCTTCAGGTGATAGTAAGCCACGACCTTAAGACCACAACACAATGCCGCGAGTTAGCAGCCAAGCGGCTTAGTATTCTATGGTCTTTAAGATAGACATTTACCAGGTCAGATACTAATATGTTCACATTAGTTTGTACAACATTAAAAGAATCCAGGCGTGAAAACTGTGTTTAGTCTGCAAGCTTATGCTTGAAAAATGACTTGGATATCTTGAGAAAGGTGGAGAGGGTAGCTACTCGTTCAATCCAACAACTCTGGGGTCTATCATGTTAAGAGCGGTCTGAGAAGACGAACCTCTTCACTCTGTTCTACCGAAGGTAAAGATGTAATATGATTTTGATGTTTAGAATACTAAGAAATGATTTCGAACCTGATATATTCCCTGTTATTCTTCCTACGAGATCAGGACAAGTCAGAGTACAAACCAGGTTATTAAAAAAGCCAAGAACGAAGATAAAGCCCATGGTAAACAAGTTTTTACACCGAGTATATTGTCCTTGGAACCTATTACCTGAACTGGTGACCCATTCAAGAGAATACTAGATATTCTCAGACGTTTATCGGGAAACGACTAACACAGGCTATAAGCATATTGTCTCCGCTACACAATTCCAAATGAGATGATAAAATTTAAGAGGCATATACATTTAAAATAAATAGATAAGTCACCGGGTATTATGCTAAGTTTTAATGTAGTAAGAAAAATGTTTGGCATCAGGCATGCAGATTCATACAAACAATAATAATAGTAATAATAGTACAAAGATAAAAATAAGTTATTATTGTTTGGGTGACTCTGTCTGTCAAATAAATTCATCGAGTGAGTTAACTAAATAAAACGCATGCAGGTTGCAGGTGAAGTTCTGTAGATATTCACGGATACTCCATAGTATCAAACGCGATTATGCAGAGTATTCCTGCACTCCTGGCCCTTCAGCTTCCCGACTTTCGATAAGTCTGATGACCTTGCAGCTTTCTTTGGTTGTTGGTGGGACGACAGTTATAGGAAGGTTTGTACGTAGTGCTACAATAATCGACAGGTATAGTGGTGTTTATCTGTTCAAGAACTCATCAAAATACTCTACCCGCCTATTCCTCTGTGCTTAAATTTTGCTGAGTGTTTTGCTTTCATTGTTCTTTGTTGACCACTCAACTCCGTATATTTGCCCTTAAGATTTTTATACCATTGATACCGACTCACCTGTTTTTCACCTGTTGGCTTCAATAATTCGTTGAGTAGAATCTTCAATCTATCCTAGGCTGCTAATCCACAGAAATCTGATATGTGAAAGAAAGGCTTGAAGATGCCACATGTATCTAGAGTTTGACAAGGCTTTAACCAGTAACACCTAATATGAAGCGTACCCACCAATAGAAAGCGAAAGACAGAAGCGAGGAGGTTCGAAGATATATTTGATAGGCTATCTAATCTGGATAGCGATTGCAGTAGATGTTGAGCACGGCGTTTCCACACGCAATCTGGTGCGAATGCATGACCGAGCGCTTTCAGCTAGATAAGTCCATGAAAACTAATGTGGTCAGTATCCAATGTCGAAAACTTACAGAGCTATTTATTTTGGGGATTTATTTACTGCTACAGGCTGGACATTTCCCTCATTTCTAAGGATACTGAGAAATACAAATCCGCGCTTATTTTTTCCTCACTTTTTCTGTAAAAAGACGATAGATTTATTCTTTTCGCTTAATGAAGGGTCAAAACAAAGGTTATATTTAAGTTATTAAGAGTCATTTCTCACAATCCAAAAGCAAACGTTCCCTATTTGCTTGAAAAATGTGTAAGACAACAATTAATAAACAGTAGCTCATCTATTAATAGTATAAAATCGAAAAAACTCAGTATGAAGTTCTGTATCGTCAAGATGAAACATTTGTTTGTATATACCAGTTTCTTGGTTTAACATAGGTTTTATCGTGGTGCACTTTCAAGTTTATGTTTGTAGTTTGTTTTCTTAATTAACTCAAGCATTTTACAAATTACTCACTAAATAACCCTTTTGAACGAGCATTATGTTATATATGTAGAGTTAACGTCATCCAAGACAATACAATTTAAAAGCTGATTTTCAAGATCTTCAAGTATATCTTATATTTAGTGTAATAAAAAACGTTTGAAGTATCATAATTTACAGGATTATGAATTTTTCTAGCGAGGTAGCCAAATAAAAGCTCTTAGGCAACAGAACATTTGTCTTAAATGTTATATCGACTTTTAATGAGATGTTTTTGTTTAATGGTACAACTAGATTTTTACCACAGTATACGGTCTATAGCTGAATTATTACTATGTTAGATAAATCCTTTGTGATGCGAAAATTTCTAGCAATGTTCCTGTAACTTTGTGAGTTAGCTAAGCCTCTGTTCCAAATTTGTTGTTACAACAAGTTCTTGAAGCAATGCTATTTGATGATATGAGTTCTCTTAGACTTTCTTGAAATTTCGTTCTCACTGATTGGCATTAATATCGGTAGTTTATGATGAAATTCCCGCCTTGATTCCTTAAGAATTCATCGGCTTCACCTAGATGAAGTTCCTAGAAGCCTCCACACTTGACAACAACTTGTCAAGATCTGGTATCTATGCTATTTGTTTCATCCGTATTCTTTTAGTTCCTATGTTTTTTATCTAAGCGAAGAAATACGGGTTCGAAATATGACAGATTATTAGAAACGAAAGACACTGGTTTGTCTAAAAAGATTTTAATGCCACTCATGAGACAAAGTAAGATAATGTAGTGTTATTGTTATCATGTGAAATTTTATAGCCATTCAGTATGGACTCTAATGTTCCTATTATTAAATGAAACACCTATTAACTGGTTTCTCTTCACCTCGACTGTAGCTAGAAGGACAACTGAAACTTCGGTGTGAACTGTGTTTAAAGAACTTGTAACTGTTGATACAAGTTCCATTCTTGAATCATTAACAAAACACTAAAAGTATGGTTTTTTAACTGAAAGTATCCAAATAAATTTAGTATTATGTCGTCCTCTGGGCCAAGTTATTTAGTCGTGTATCTCATTGTCCTTTTGGATATCACCCTTGTAAAATTGGAATAGAAGTAATCAGTCGCAACTTTCCCACATACAGACTGACGACCTTCATCTCAACTGGTTATTGCTGTACCTTGTTCTACCATTGTTTACATACCACTTTTAACTGTCATTCTCTTCGAACTTATTTTAGACCTCATAAATGAAAAGCAATGAAAGCTTTATGATTAAATTGCTCGGTTCAATGAACAAGATTCCATCGAAATCATCTACACGACTTACATAGCACTTCTTTCATCTTAGCATGGAAGACTGCTTCTACAAAACAAGGTGTATAATACTTTGAAAACTACATATATATGCTGAATATTACATGTAACAACTAACGATTTCAGTCGTTGTTAATAGCTGACTCCGTTGTGTGATTTATAGATCTTTAAGAAGAGGTACAGTTTTCGTTGAAATCTTTAGGAGTTTTTCCCTCAGAAGTTCTTAAACCTCGAGTAGTGCACTTTAGAATTATTAAATAATAATAATAATACTAGACATCTACTATATCATAACCTGAGTTTTATTAAACATTGGCCAGTCAGGCGTTTGCATAGGAACACGATCAGCACCTCAAAGTCCTGCAGCGATCAAGATACCTTTAAACCGCTAGGTTAGAACCCGATAGTTTACAGTTTAACGTTATTCAATTTCCTGTAGCTCAAGACCTACACCCAATGATATTTCAGTTTCGGTTTGGAACGGACAGGAGGCTTGATGTCCTGTTTTAGTCCTGGCAATGATGGTCTCTCGGTTGATCCAACTTTCTTTTGAAAGAGTCGACTGATGGAGTCTCAACCGCGTGTTGAGATCATGAATTACACTAGTTGGTGATTCTATGAGAAAATCGATAGTCAGCTGACAAGTAATTTGTTCTGGGCTTGTGAACGCTTTTGGAGTGTTCTCGTAAATTGTGTTTTGGATGACAAAAAAAAATGAGGGCATATCAGATGCAAATTTATCACTAAGCAATTTGAAATCTGTAATCAAGTCGCTTCTGGTGCTCCGATATGACAACGGGAATAAATTTAGCTTGGCCAGTCAAGCTTCATACGGGAGTTTTTCTAATTCGGGAATCAGCTTATTTGCTGTTGTCTGAACATTTTCCAAAAACTCACTGTCATTTTTCAAGCAGTACTCAAGTTTAGGACGCACAAACACTGTATACAAAGTCAAAAACGTTTTAGCATCGACCTGATTAAAAGCCCTACGTATTGATCATAGAGTTCTAAAACCTTTGGCGGCTATTACACGGCAGTGTGCAGTAGTCTTTAAGTCTTGGCTAACGATGACTCTCAAGTCATTGTTTGTCTGAACAAAAGGTAGCTCAGTGTTATTTATCGTGTATGTACCTGTACCTTGATGACCGATATGCATTACAATAAACTTGCAAGTATTACTCGGCAACTGCCAGGCTTGAGACCATTCAGACAATTTCTTCAGGTCATTTTGGAGTTCTAAGCTATGGGTAACTTTCTAATTGACTTGGATTTTGATTCACTTTGCTCAATGTTTCTTCCTTTCTGAGAAATCGGAAAAATTTTTGTTAGATGCCATACAGAGTCATAAGTTCTCACGCCTCTGAACTTTAAGACTGGAACAAACAGCTCCCGAAATCGCAGAAATTTTCAATAGTTCTCCAAGTTCCACCATTTTGTACTGAATTTAGCCTCAAACAGTAGAAAATCTACATAGAAGTATTTCAGTTAATAAAAGCAAAAAGATTTTGTTTTATCAGTGGTTTCATGTACAAATAAAACAGGTTACAGTATATAATGGTTAGTCTCCCAAGTTAATTTAAAAGCATTCATGCTGATTATTTTATTATAGTACTTATAATGTCTAGGTAATCAGACCTGTTTCTACCATTACATGGAAAATATTGTCTTACATTATGAATTGTTTCATATACAGGAAATGATGAGCGAGTATATTCCTTCAAACATAAATTTTACGAAGAAAAATGGTATGCTTAGTTTCACAAAAGGTAAGCAGCCAACAACAACAAAAGTTAGATCAAAACTCGCAAGCAGGTAATAGTTTTTAATATTTTTGAGCAAGACACCATTAATCTTAAAATCAGGAAGGTTATTTTTGAAGACCCTTTATGCCTGAATGACAAAGATATCGTTGCTGACGAGCTACTGGTTCAAAAAGAGGCTGATTATCATCGTAATAACCACAATATCGATAGCGCTATTTCAAATAAAACGGGTGTTAATTTAAAAAAGATCAATGACGATACTGAACTAATTGATTTAAAAGGAAAGGTAAGCCATATTTGGAGCCTAAATGTGTCTGTAGCAAGCTAATATTTATGCTTTTGACTTCTTTCTATTACAGATTGGTTGGAAAAATAATAAAATGAGCATTAGTTTATTTTTAATCTGTGTAAACAAGTTAGCACTTGGCAGAATTTAACAGTTTTAAGACATTGTGGAAAGTTCTAATGCTGTGATTTTGTGCAAGGCACTAGCGATTAGTGCTGTCAAGTTTCAGGATCACCAATAGCTGGGGCATCATGGTATCTAGATTGTTTACAAGTCTGTTAGATTTCGTTTAAAATTTAGCGATCACTTGGAATCCAGTAACTTTTAGTTTGTATTTAGGTATGCAAAAGGGGATGCATACATGGGAATGCTGAACACAGTGACTAAGGGAGACTATGCCCACATGAGACTATGTCCACATAAATCAACACATATTAATTTAGTCATTACCGTCTACTAGAAAATTTGTTTTTAACAATATTTTCAAGATAATGTGACAATTCAAACCAAGGCAACTTGTTTGTTATAAAGAATAACAATAATCAAAATTATGAACTGTTACGCCCTCGGATTTCGCACTTAGCACGTCCTACACTACTGCCACACAACCACACAACTTTAACTATATTCTCTCACAAAAACACCTGTTAAAATACAGATTTAACTGTATCTTTAAAATCCAGAGTATTACACGACTAAAAGATCATGATTTATTGGTGACTTAACAAACGCGTAATCAAATTACTCATTGCGAGTGTTTATTAACAAAATGGCGTTCTCTAAACTAGCATACTTCCTTATCCGAATTGATCAGCGTCACAAACTTTTGTTAGGCTAGAGTTTCGTTAATTGCTGTAATAGTGAAGAATTATGTAACATTCAACCACTTTTATATTTTTATAATAGGTTCAAGATTTGTCAGTCCAGTTAGAAGAAATATGTAAATATTCACGTTCACCTTTAAATGAAAATGATGTATGTTTCTGTCATGACCTCGTTGGTGGAAAATGCTTATTACCACAAAATCGTACTTATACGGACTCTCCACGGTTAAGAACTCCGCCAAAAGTTTGGTTCTCTAAACCAGATTGTTGTCAGTCATGCACAGTACCATGTTGTTTTAAAGCTGATTCGAGTTCTACAAATTTATTGAATAACCCGGAAAAACTACGACCACTTACTGATGAAGAATTAATGCAGGTATGCTTTTTATTTATTATAAATTTCAACCAACACAGTAGTAAATTAGAAGACTGCAACTACTATCAATTATTATGTTTGATCATCTGTCTTGGATATAATATAAACTCACTAAACATGCTTTTAAAAGAGATATTTTGTAATTCTAATCTAAAAATGCAATGAAGTAGTGAAATGGTTTTATCCAACAACCATTTTCGATAATTTATTGTTTAGCTACTACAATTAAAAATCTGTTAAATATTATTATATAGCGGTCAGTGTAAAGTATACGTTAAAATTTAAGATGGAGTCACTCGATGTTAGAAGACACAAAATTATAATTTGTGAAGATCGCTACCTTCACCACATACGTCATATTGGGGGTTTTCAGTACCAAGCATGAGTCAGTTAAGTATTAATCAGATAAATAACAGACAAAATCAAAAGTGTCTAGTTAAAAAAGAAATGTATTCGTATAAATTGTTTACGTTTTCTGACAGTTTTTGTCCAGTGAACTCAGCTATCTTCTGTCAAATAAATTCTACTCAACAAGATTTCCTCTGCCTAGAAATACTCCCCAGTTCCACCATCCTACATATTTTTAAGATTTCTTATTGACTTTGCTGTTACAATGGCTCATTGTTCGCGTATTATCGTCTTTACATAATCTCAGTCTTGATCTTGCTGTATCCATTCATAAAGAGTTGTTTTCCTCAACAATTTACCTGTCAAACACCCTTTAACGTTTTATGAATTACCTGAGATGTTTTTCTAAGTTTGGCTATAAATTTGGTGTTGAGCTTTTTTACCCTCTGTCCAGAAAAGCATCTTCTTAAGGTTTTGATGAGTATTTTAGCGCCCTATCTGTTTTCGGTACGTAATATAATTGATTTAGTAAGAGTTATAGCTACTAAATAGAAACGTTAGTACCCCAGCCGCTATGTTTACTGAATAGATCATATACCCAAAGACCTTAAAATATGTAATTAAACACCAGTCAGTTGCTTTTTTTGATATTGTATCTTCTGTACTCCTGAATGTGAAATTTTTCAAATGATTTTGTTATGCTTGCAATAACAGGTACTATGTTTTTGACAAACCTCCAGATTGCTAACCAGGGAAAAATGTTTTTCTAAACAATAGAACCAATCAGTCATAAATAACTCAGGTCCTAGAATAAATATAAATCGGCTCCAGATATCGTAGTTCATATATGCCACACAGGATAAAATAACTAACAAAACAAAATCTAAATAATTAAAAATAATAACATCCAAAGTTTTGAAAAATTGGACAAGCAAGTTTCAAAATGAAAATTTTCATCAACTACTCGCCAACTTTACAGAGATATACAGGCACTTAGGGAACGATCACATATTGAACACCTCAGCCACTACACAAATAGATCAAAACAAATGCTCATTAACAGAATACGGCAAAATATATAAGACCGCTGGATGACCACAACTTCATATTCGATCATGTCATCATACGCATACACAAAAGACATCAACTGCACAAGCAACAATCTAAACAAATATCAGTCCTCAAAACACAACAACACACATAGTACGCGGCCAACAATTTACGCCAATGTCCGTTCAGTGGATGTGAAAAGATGCTTCGTACATTCAAAAGCATAATAATAATTACATAAATGACCAGCGATCACTGAACAGGATACTAGGCCAAAGTATGGAAAAACCAATTTCAAAAGTAACGATTGCGCCTCGGTAGTTGTGCTGTTCTTCCATGTACACCTCTTCTTCAGAAGGGCCTAACGACTTCATCAGCTAAGTTTGGTTGGAAAGGGAAACATGGCTCAAAATTAATGATAGATATTTACTCATAAAATTGATAATGAAAAACAAAGATTTAGACGAAGACAATAAATATGCTCATTTGTACCACTGTTATTGACTTTTATAAGTCATATATTTGACTCCGTCTCAACGACTTACAGTTATAACTACGATACTACCATAAGCGAAACACTTCATTTGTCAATTGTTATCATAAGCGTTATATTATAAGTTTAATGACATTATTTATGATACTATTAATGATATTATTTATCTGTAGAAATATACGTCTCCTTATAAATTTAACCTTAAAAACATCTCAATGAACAATTCATTGGTTGAATAAGATAAATTGAAATTTATAGAGAAATGTTTTATATGTGCCTGTAAGAGACAATGATGTATCTGATGTATGATTTTCATATTTTATTGAACTATTGTGTGATTTCCTTAGTTTCATTTCTATACTTTTACTTCTTTTTCTCTTCTATGTTTCATGGATTTAAAGGATAATTTAAATGACATCAGACATCGTTTATCATTACTACAAGATAATTATGCACCAAAACATTTACCATCATCTGTATCAAATAAAATTGAACGTGATATTGATGAACATTTGGAAGAACTCAATAAAAAGAATTCAGAACGAAAGCAATATCATCATTTACCAACTAATAGAACATCAACATATCAAACTATCAAAGGAAAATCATTAACTGATCAGAAAAAAACAGTCGATCATCAGTCTTTGAAATCAAAAACGAGTCAGTTGTAACGTGAAATTATCTTTTTTTGTATTGTATTTTAAGTTATTTATTTTATTGTAATAAACTGAGTGAATAAAATGCTGAAAATATTACTTAATTAACTCGAAACATCTGGAAATTTAGAAAAGTTGGATAAATGTGTAAGTGGTAATTGATGGATTGACTTACAAGTTATATAAATGTAGCTCAAGTTATATCTACCTATAATCATTTCTATAGGTGTATTTTATTAGATATACATAATAGCAAACCCAATATACAGTGTAGAAGCAAGCATTTATGTGGGTCGTTTGAAGTTTATATATCTTATCAGCGTAGCATGATGCAATTATCAGGGCAAATATCAAAGTACTAGAACCAGTAACATTAATAGTGATTGTACAAAAGATTACGTACAAATGATATGATCGGAGGATTAATTTGTGGAAGAATAAATACATGGTATCATTTTAATACCACCATGTAAGGGAAGCTAAATGTTAAATTCACCCAACATTTTGAGCCACTTGGATCAATGTTGTCAACAACTGGTTACGATAATAGCACTGACCCTAATCAGGTAGTCTGCTCCTACTCATGAGACTCATTTCAACAATAAATGGCTTCACGAATGTAATAATATTTGACACAAGTTAATCGTGGTTAACTATCGTTACACTGTAAGCAGTTTTAAATAACTTAATGGTTCAATCAGAATTCAACATTTGTGTAAATCAAAGCGACATTCAAACAGTAAATGATGAAAAACATCCTAAGATTGAATAAACCACTTCTCTTAAACAATAACATGCCCTTGTTATTGACCAGTTTTAAAAGAAACTTTTATGAACCCCGTGAAGTTGAGCTGGTTTCCACTGACAGTCATTTTATATTGTGGAATCCTTCGATGTTCCGTAGCTTTTAGTAGCTCACCGGCTGATGTTAGTTCTCAGTTATATTAAATTCACTAAAGAACGGAATGTCTTCACGTCTTAATCGCTTTTATGATTTATCAAAATTGTCTATTTCAAATGATAATCAACTGGGTATCAGACTTTTCAATCATCTAACCTTGTAGCTTTTAGAGTGACTTTTGGGTTGTACAATTATTCATATTTTTTATTAGGAAATTACCCTAGTCCATATGGTTATTTACCATTAATAATCTTACAACTGAAGTCAATTTTTTAAGGTTATAAATACAATCTGAATCTACGCTTTGTGTTGTTTGTTAAAGGTTGATAATAAATTTTTTCAATACTAAAAAGTAACTTATTGAATTTCCTGTCTTATTATTTTATTACCACATCTTGTTCAATATCTTTAGCTGAAAATGTATCTAATTTTTATATATCATTAGTAACTAGGGTAAACAATGAACTGTATTGTTTTTATTATTACTAATCAACTGAAATAATTGTATACAGCATTTCTGAGTACTCAGGAATTTAATGAAAGATCCTATGAATCTATGAGGGCCATGGTTGACAATCCTTACAAAGATGCATCCGCATTTCTAAAGAAATTTATATTTTCTTTGATGTGAATACTAGTTCTCTTACGATGCCTCTAATCATCAAACATTGAACACAATAGTCAAAAATGTTGAGTTGTGTAGCCAAATGGTCACTTTGCAACTTGATTGATAGAATTGAACTACCATTGATTACTAAGAAACATGAAATTGGTTACTTTTTAATCCAGACTTACCTTAGACAGTAATTTTCCAGACAAATAGATGTATAAAAATCAATATTTAATAAATTGTTTTAAAATATCTAGTTAGGATACTACTATTTAACTAAAAAAACAACCAGGAATTAGCCAGTCAATGTAATTCTTAATGTTTTAATATCTGAATTTGATTTTTTGTCTCTCCATTACATTACTAAATTAGCTTGCATACAGAAGAATTTGTTATAAGTCCCTGTAATACTGTTGTGTGCGCAACTTATGTGGTCAGATATAAGTAGTATGTAGTAGGGATACGTAGTGGAAGGCTTACCAGCATAAGATTTAAACAAAGAGAACAAGGAGAAAAACGGAGAGCAATCGGAATAATAATAATCGAATTAAAGGAACGATGGAATATATAAAGGATAACTGAAGGAATATGTATAGATGATGTATTTAATGCATGATTTTCATATTCTACAAAGGTCATTGTGTGATTGTTGAGCTTTCACTAACTACATTACGAATTATGTTAGTAATCAGGAAATAACAATAGTTCCACTTATAAATAAACAATAGTATTTTACATAAATATAAGTTGTTTAATAATATTGTATCTACAATTTATCTTGTTTTATTTTCTGTTTTCCCTCTTTTTAAAAAAAACAATAAATTCTGTTTTTATTTATTTCGCAGAATCAACAATTACACAGGAACAATTTGAATTAAATCAACGAAAAAATAGAAAATTTCCAAAAGAAAAATTAGTTCATTCATCTTACAATAAATTAAAATTACCTAATAATAAATTAAAATCTGAAAATTTAATGAAATCTTTAAATGGAAAAAAAGATAAAACCTTAATAAAAAATATTAGCAGCTATGATAATGATGATGATAATGATGATCCTGAAATAACTTTAGATAAATTAGAAAAATATTTAGAAACTTCTGATATGATCATGGATTCAAAAGTTGAAGATTTAAAAACAAAAAAGTAGGTATATTTAATATCAGAAGGGGTTTTTGTGGATATTATAATAATTTCAATAGTTAAGATTATGAGTCAATTGAATCTAGACCCTTATGGAAAACCTGGAAATACTGGACGGTCATTTCATCCTATTGTGAGACTTTTCAGTAGTGCGCTTTCACGATCCCACCTCACGAGATTCAAACCTAGTGTAGTGAACAAGAACACCAATGGGGACAATCTAAAGCCATATAGTGAATCGTTAATTTGCAAAATATAAATCATCATATCAAACTTGACTGTTCCTGTTGCAAACATCAATCGATTGTCTGAAATTCCATTGTTCATGCGTTTTCATGCAAATTGCTTTGTGTTCCCGCTCTTCTTTTATTGATCTTCCCCAATCTTCTGCTGCCAGACATTACGTTTTTAACTCGCGTCATATACTACTTATATCAATATAAGTAGCGCACACCACACTAGGACCTATTAGTTCCACGCGCGAGCGCCTAACCTCTAGGCCACTGAGCCGGCCAGCATCCAACACTGTTAATGTCTAACTTCAACTAATTCACGCAATTAAGCGACACATGCACCATTGACATCAGTGAGATACTATCTCACAACAGACCTGATTGAACTCCACTGTTCACTGCTGCTTACTAGAACTTCAGGATATACCTCTTGAAGCCAATCACTAGTGAGCATATGTTGAATAATATCAGAAGCGGATTTTGTGGATATTATAGTAATTTCAATAGTTTAGATCATGAGTCATTTGACATTTAATGACATAAATTTTGATGTCAAATGGTGTATTTCGTTTATGTTATTTATTAATGTCTATTGGTTTTTTCATCACTTTTTATGTTTTTATTTGAAGTACATTGATTTCGCTCTTTAACTTTCTACAATTCTGTTGATTAATTAAAAATTCAGTCATAATCAACATTAAGCCCTGAAAATAATATACATTTCATCCAGTTGTTATATCATATTATTAGTTGTTTTTTGAACACTGTGTTCACTTTCCTAGATAGTCTAAATCACTTTTGACTAAATTTCATTTTTAAATACCTCCAGAAGAAGTATCTTTCCACTGTCTAAATAACCAAGAAGTGACAAACACCTCTACACCCTCTCTATCGACATATAACGTCAATGCGATTTTTGATAGTGAATAGAGCTAGGTTTCTCAACCTCTAAACATTCATTCATACAATGACTAGCCATTGAATAGCGAATAATGTTACAATATGTGATATTTTTAATTAATTAGTTGAATACACTGGATTGTAAAGTTGATCATTGACTGAAGTGATCTAGTTATTTGCTGTCCTTTAGAATAAAGATAGAAAGATCAAATGTGGGCAGATATATATTTGATAATATTTCATAAAACAATGGGTTTTTTTTGTTTAATCGTACCGTAAGCTTTCTATTTGATGTTTTGATGGAGTTTTGTTCTCTGAGCTGGATGGTTTGGTCGTGGAGCTTTCATTGTTCTTCTGAACGACATCATCAGCACAAACTTCAGATAGAAGTGAAGTGTTCGAATTTCTCCATATGCGTTTCATAGCTTGTTCTGTGCACCTCGATGTTGATTGGTTCTTATTGACCTTAAATTTGTCATTGTTTACCTTTTTGTTTTGGTTTTGTCTCCTATTGGTTTGATTCTTGTTCCTATATTTGTGCATAAGTTTCCTGATTGGTTGATAAATCGGATCGATTTCAATATGTTTGTTGATTGCTGATTGACCTGAGTGCCAGGCTTCTAAAAATTCTCTTGTGTTTTTAGAATTTCCTCTGTCCACGATTTCCACATTTTTCCAATCGAATGTGTGTCCGCAGTTGTCCACGTGTATTGATATAAGTGAGGAGATATCTATTTGATGTTTTTATGTTAGTAAAAACCAGTGATTGGATACCTTAGATTTTATAATTTAGAAGAGAGTAGTGGTATTTATCATCGAATACATTTAACAGTTTTTAACTTTTCACATATTTATCGTTCTTTTTGTTTATAATTGTGTTGTTTAACTAAATGTTTTTTTTTTGTTGATATTTTTGTCCTATATATCTGCATTTTTGATCTAATACTGTAAAAAGTTTTATTTTACGATACTCTTTAGTATTGAGTTGTTACTGAAGATTGTCATAAAGCTTTAAGTGATTCACATATAATTTTTATTAACATTTTATCATGAATTTTATGAATATATACCTTCCTTAAAACTTTTACAACCTTTCAATAAATACGATGACTAGAGGTAAATGTATTTTTAACTTACATATTAACTGTTGCAGAAAATTACAGAATTGATAAATGAAAATATCTAATTAATTTTTTTTCTTAACCATCTAAGAAGTTTTTTAATTTTTTATTATATTGAAACACTGATAATATGGATAAAGTATATTGTTCCAAGTAAATCCTCATCATATTCCACAGTTGTACGTCTAAATGAATAATCTATTAAGTAGGTAACTTAAAATACGTAAATACGTAGCTTAAAATTATAGTGCGTAGATTTGGAATTGTTTTTTAAAATAAAATAAATTGCTTAGTAACAAAATAATTAATACAAAATGTTGACTTAAGTGAATTTACACAGGTTAAATGTAATGATCAAATTAATATTCAGAATAAATATAAACAATTTGGGAGAGAGAGAAATAATGATGCAATTAGAAGCCAGGTTACATATTTAGTGAAAGATTACATACTGTATGAAATAATATGAATATGGTAATAAATAAAAAATTATAACAGTCGAATTCAAAAGTCGATCTAAACTAGACTACCATTGAAAACTTGAAAGGACTGAATTCAACTGTTAAAATATTACACTCTTCACAAATCGTCATTCTGATAATAATCATTTACTCACTAATAACTATCTTCAAGATAGATTTCTTAAGGTTCTGGTGAAAAGCCATGATCAATGGAGTTCAATCTGTGTCGAGAGTGAGACAGTTATCGATTTCAGACTATGGATGAAGGGTTGCGAAAGATCATGGATTAACTGAAGTTAGATAATGTCACCTTTGAATGCCAGCTCATTGGTCTAGAAGTTAGGCATTCGCGCGCGAGACTAAAGGTCCTGGGTTTGAGTCTCGAGTGTAGGATTGTAGATGTACAATGATGGAGAGTTCCACACTAGGATGAGATGGCAGTCTAGTAATTCCATGTTTTCAATGGTGGTCAAACTTAGATTAATTAATGAACTCAACTATAATCTTCACAACTCCCCATAGTGAAAATAAAAATTTATTATAACAGTGATGATAATTTTAAGATATACCAATAATCAATAGTCTATTTTGTTTCTTATCGTTAATATTTCAGCACTCAACAAGAAACAAAACTAGATGAGACAAAAGAAATGGTAAATGAACTTCGTTCAGTTTACCAAGAAATAAAAGACTTGTTAATTGTAAGTTCCTCTTCTATTGACAATAACTTATTTCTGTGTTGAACTATATTTTTGGGTGGTTAAATGTAGTCCTCAGGAAATTCTGAACTACTTAATATCTCAATATATTCAACACGATATGAAGTTGCATAAACTGATAATCATAGTGTAACTATATCAGTTGAATTACATTAGTACTAAACGAGCCAGCCAAACACTTGTCAAACCCGCTGCATTATTTAATTACTGCCCATCTTCTTTTTCAAAAACGTGATGCTTGACTAACAAAATTTACCTAGAATTTTCAGAAAAAAACATTTGTAATATTGTTAGTATCAAGTCGTGGAAGTTATTGAAATCACAAACATATCTAAGCCAAATAATCATTGAAAACCTTGAAGCACGTGAATGCCATTTTTTTTAATATGATACTTTTCAGCAGTGCACAATCACGACTGCACAGCCAAGAACCAAACACAGAATTTTCACTCTTGTATACAAACTTTCAACCTATAGACCACTGTGCTGAGACCCAACGATTCAATATTTTATATATATATATATATATATATATATATATATATATATATATATTCAGTGATTGAGTTCTTCCATACATTTAATATTATTTGACATTTAATGTATTCAATATACTTTATTAAAATGTTTAAGTCATTGTTCATATAATGACTGATTATCTTGCTACCTGTTTACATCACAGTTTACTCAATTGATTTTTATCTTTTGAAAATTTTATCAGTTTTATAATCATGATAATTTTTTCAGAATGTTCGTAATCAAATTGATGAAAATAACAGTATGAAATTAGAACAAACTGGAAAAATCGATACAGTAAGTTAAAATCCCTTTTATACGGTATATCTTTTCTAATATTTTATTACAAGTATGAAAGTATAATTTTTTTAAAAATGATCTAACAGACTAATATCTAAAGGTGACTCTTTCAAACAGTTTAACAATAATTTGGTTGCAGAAGTTTGGATTTCCCAGTTGTTGATGTAAAAGATTGCAATTAAATCATTCTCTTCACTTAATTGTACATTCCTAGAGGATTGCTTTGATAATATTACTGAACATCTACACTGGGATGAAGATTCATCCAGCTGAAGAGTCTCAAATAGGATAGAACGCGCTTCCTAGATTCCACTACTAGCTATTATTCAACTTAGTTTAAAGAAGTGTTGGAAGCAAACTCAGAACTCAGTTCATTAGTACTCAATGGTACATTATTTCATATCTAGTGAATTTAAGGTATAGCCTAATCTTGACGCAACATCAATGGTAATTTATTCAACTTTTCAGACACTTCACAAGTCACAGATTTTTCAATGATTTTCAGTGAGTCACCAAATAGCATCGATTTGGGATCTTATCAAGTATTGTTATACTAAATAAAATATTCGCAAAACCGTTTAAGTACATTCATGAAATTATATGACAAATGTTTCTAAATATGGGACATATGCATAAGAAGAAAAGGTGGAGCGATTTGAAACAACGTACAGCCATTTGATGTATCACATAAATAACTTACATATTTACTTACTCTCGAACTTGCACACTTAATTAACTAATTAATTACTCTCCTATTATCTTTCATGAAGAAGCATAGTCCACCTACGAGGATTTTGTATCAAACTTTGACCTGGGCAATCCTTTCCAGTTGTTTCGAGCTGCAATTCATCTTTTCATGTCTGCTTCTAATTCCCGGTCTAATGCGTCCCTTGGTCTTCCTCATTCCTCTTCAGCTGGAAGTCGGTTTGTTTCCTATCATAGTAGATTGTTACTGATGATATTCGGCCAGTGGATTTGAAGTATCTTGTATAGACACTTGTGAACAAATACCTGTACATTTTTGCTAATTGTTATAGTAGTTCTTCAATTTTCAGCATTGTACAATAGAACCTTCTTGACGTTCGTATTGAAGCTTTTGACTTCGATGTTGGTTGACAGGTGTTTTGAATTTCATATGTTGCTGTTCCATATGATGCTGTCCAGGTACGTGAAAGTTTTCACCTCTTCCAGAGCTTCTTCATCAAGTGTGATTAAATAGATGTTCTCTATGTTGTATTTCGCGATCTTGGTTTTTCCCTCGTATATGTTGTGGTCGACTGCTGTAGAAGCTACTGCTACACTGGTTGTCTTGACCTGTAGTTGCTGGTGTGTATGGGATAAAAGAAAATTGGCATCAGCGAAGTCCTAATCGTCTAGTTGCATTAAAGCTTTCCATTGTATTCCGTAGTTGCTCTGAGATGTGGAGTTCTTTATTAACCAATATCAATATATCTTGTAATACGAATGCATTAAACACTATTTTTTTATTCGAATTATCTTCCTAACAAATTATCTTCTTAGAATACAAACTCAAACACCTTACTGTCAACCTCCCAACCTGTACTTACTCCTGGTACCTTACTTCCAAGTATTCGACTTGCAATGGAATATTCTGGTAAAACAATTTCACCTACAGATGATATAACTCAATTAATATCTAATTTACCTGATGATCCTCTTGTTAAAGCTTCAACTGCATTGTATGAACTTAATCGACGACGTAATAATCTAGAGAATAATCTTGCTGCATTAGAATCTTCACATAATGATCAATCGATTTTCGGATTACTTGATTTATTAACTAAAGACAAGTAAGTGTATTAGATATTATACATAAATACGTATATAATTAATTTATTGACAAAAATAAATTTTGTCAAATGCTATCAATAACTATGAGTTAATGTTTTAGTACTCAACACAAAATCTCAAGATATTCAAATGTAGTTCTATTTTAGATCGACAGTGTAAATTATTGACATGTGTTGCAAACGAAGACAAATCAGTATTTCATTATTTCTTGATTTGCACTGAATCTATTTTGAAAGAAAGTAATTCACGATATTCTGAATTATTGTCTATAAAAATGTAACAGTAATTTTTGAGGTAATAAAAAATAACTATCTGTGGAAAAAGCTCAAAAGATAATCATCTATTTAACGAATATAAATGGCATAACACTAACAATTTGCAAAATTAAAAGGGATTCTAAGACCATTGTATGATAAAAGATTAAACATATTTCTTTTATACACAAAAAGCAGGTTTGAATTCGTTGAACATTTATGCACGACTAAGCCTACCACAATCCATTATTTGAAACCTGATCTCCGTGCACAACAAAGTGCTGTTCAACCTCCCATTCTATCATAATCTTAACATCCCTTATAAATTTACAGACTGCCAGTTTCAATTACTGTTTTATTCACGACAAATTAAATTTTAAACAAAACTGATTTTTATGATAAGAGATGATGGTGGCTAGCTTGGGAGTTCAGGACGCGTATTTCGTTCCATTTAGGACTCATCAGCTGGATGTGGGTTAAAAAGCGCGTCCTGGATTCCACTGCTAGCCACCATCACCTTTGTTTATAATGCTTGTGATTTGGGTCAATATCGAGACAATCTGCATAGGATGCACATATGCCATTAGGAGACTAATCAGTTTCAGCTCTAAGCATCAATGGAAGGATTCAAACAACCAATACGAAAATGAAATCAAACTAAGTTTTACTTAAAAATTGTTCTGTTTTATATAAACAAGATATAATATAGTTCAGTCAGTTTCTTTGTTGAAAAATCCATCAATATTTTGCATTCTTTTTCATCTTTAATTGTCTTAAATGTATTTTAAACACTTTCCCCAACATGTATAGTGTTCCAAAGGAATATGATTATTGCTGTAATCTAAAAATTGAGGACAAATTGAACGAGTAATATCTCTTCATGAAATCCCAATCCATAGAAAGAGGTTTAATTTGAAATCAAGATAATCATTTCTTGATATTCTCTCAAGCTCACTAATTTATCGTGCATATATTTGAAGTACTGATTATGTACTTTAAATTAAATGAAAATGTGGTTTCAAACTAAACGGTAATGATCAGCTATCAAACAATTACTGAACGTTTGTTAATTAAAAGTAGTTGGATTATTTATGACAACACTGACCAATTGTTTCGCCATCATTTGAAACCTTCGCGTTAATAATGATAAACAGGACAATAGTTACGCTATATCCTGAACTGAGTGTTGGTAGAATTACAAACCACCTTATTCTAACTAACTCATTTAAATACTTTCTTCTCTTTTCGAAATTAAGATGTCAGATTTGCGGGATCCGGAAGATTTCTCACTAAGTTAGTTGAGTGTCGGTGAGGATGATAATGATCGTTTGTTTGCTTAGTCAGACTATGAGATAGTACTAGATGAGTTATATATTCTCTTACCCTTATTATTACTCTGATTGTTGTCGGTTTTTCGTGTGAAAATATACTTACGTTCTAGTCGGGATAGTTACGTGTTCTTGATCTGAGTTATGTTGAAGTCCTGTAGAATAAACACTGGGAGGGAATCTAGTGTAGATATTTGTCCAAGGCAAATTAGCATCCCATTCGTGTAGATGGAAAACCGAGGGTTATAACAGTTGGATTTTCCGATTCCATTCTTTCTTCAACTGATTTGAGTGATAAACATTGTCTATCATGAGATGGTGGGGAAGAATTGAAACTCAAAAGTATGGTTTGGTTAGAGTTGAATTAAATAGTCGGTTAATATCAATCAATTGAATGAGTCATGAACAACTGTAAGGTCAAACAAGAATAAGTTTGAACACAATGAAAATCCAAAATAAATAGGCAGACAATGACATAACAAGGAACATCAGTAACCAATAAAAATCTACGTTTAAGGAACAACCTACTAATCAAATGTGTGCACATTTTATTAGCCAACTTTAATCCAAAGTTTGTGCTAATGATGTTACTTGAAAAGACAACATAAAACCGTCCAGCCAGAGGAACGCGGCTTCACCAAAACCGTCTGTCTCATAATAACGTTTATGTATAAATTTCAATAACTAACTTGTATACTTTGCTGTTTCTTTGATAATATATAAACTGTTTAGGTCATCAGCGGAGAAAGCTCGCATACAAGCTATGATAAATGATGCAATCGATAAAGTTGTTCATGATAAAGTAAGTTTCACGATTAATTTAACATATAAACTGCTAGTCTCCGGTACACGCTTTTTATTGGTTACTGAAGCTTTTATGTGTATAAGTTACAATCATTAGAAAAATAATAGGATGAGTTGAATTAACTGGTTGAGATTCATGAAAAGTACTCAGTAGGGCCATTCTACTGAAAGTTGGTATGAAAGTGCTTTGAATTGTAACATGATAAAAAATTAATTATTGCAAAAAAAAGTAATTTAGTGGAATGACATCATCTGTTTATGAAAACATTCCAAAGACATTTTACTTACCATTTTTAACTAAATAGCATAATTACCTAACAAAGTCAACTTCAGTTTCTTATGTAACTTAGCTCAGTAATAAGAATCCATGTTACATACTGTCACGTTTGAGTTTAATCTTATGTAATGGAATTCATTACTCTACTACCATAAGTCGTTAGAGAAGAGTGTAAACAACTACGAATCTTTTATATCACAGAAACTCCCAATTTTCTGTTCTGTACTTTTGAATTATTCAATGTCTTGATCAAATATAAATCTTCTTAACCAAAGTTTTCATCACGTTTGGTGGATTTATTCTCTACACGAAATTCATCTTTACTTAACTACAATAAAAACATACTACTAACTTATATATAGTAACTCATTATTTTGATCCGGGACATGTTTATCTCTGTCTAAATGATACGATATACCACAGACATAGTGAAAATAAATATACGTTGCCGAAACGTCTCTGGCTAGATTTTCTGTATTGTTAACAAAACAGGTAGTGGTAAGATTCAAGATCCCCAAAATTAAAGAAATTCATTGCTCTTCACGTAATATGGTTAGTGTATATTCAGATTTATCTATTTCAGTTGGTGAGAATTTAATGAACGGATTTTGCAAATTACTCATTATCATTATGACTTATCTTTATAGAAATCAGAAAAAAACACCAGATCAATTGGCCGCATTTCACGACTAACTCAACCGAAATCTCAATTAACCACTCAACCAAAACAAATGAGGGATACATCAAGTTCTGGTAGCTCCCCAACGAGATCAAGAAATGTGATTGATTTATTTCAACATAAATTATACTCTACAGATCGTTCTCCGTCACCAGTAACGCTTACTTCTCCATGGCGTTTAAATAGACGAAGAGCTAAACGGCCATTATATCCACGTTCAGTTAATGATCCCGTTAGGCCACGAACAGCTGTCCTACGGTTAAGTGATGAAAATCTAACTGGGAGTAGGTTCAGACACTCAATTTTGTCCACAGTTGTAAATAAATTACAAACTTACTTAAATATCAAGTATTTAAATCTAGAAAATTTTAATATCATATGTTCTGGTCAATCGTACTCACTTGTCACCAGTAATTTATATCATGTTGTGTCATATCACTTAACTAAGTGTTAACAGTTATTTCTTGCTATGGCGGATTTGTGAAGATTTTATTATTTTCACAGTCGGAGTCACGAACTGACTTTAGTTAGACCACTGTTGAAGACCCGAAAGCACTGGATGACTGCTTCGTCGTAATATGAAACTCCTTAGTAGTTCTCATTCATGATCCCGCACACAAGAATCAAACCCAAGACCATCTGTTTCGAGTCTTAATACCTAACCTCTAAACCACTAATCCAGGATCAAGCGGTATTGGTGTCTGACTTAAATCAATAAATAATAGTCATGTGTCCGCTAGTGACCTGCTTCAAGATGTTACTCCTGAAGTTCTAGTGAAAAGTTGTTACCAGTGGAGTTAATCCATGTCGGGGGTTAGACAGTTATCCACCCCGTGCAATGGATGATGGGCTGCGCGCGGTTATGAGTTGATCAAAGCTAGATATTTATTTCTTTAACAAAACTATATTGTGGTGTATGCTAATTATGTCGACTGACATAAGTTGTATTTAACATCGATCAGAAGTCGAATGCCTGGGGAATGTAATCGTAATCATAATGAAGTAACGATATAGTATGAAATAGTTGATGGGATATTTGCAAACGAAGTATTTAATGTATGGATTTTCATATTTAACGAAAGAACATCGTAATTTCGCACTAAATAATAAATTGGTTGTCCCTCCCCTAATTGCTCGTTCGCTACAATTTCGAGTAATCGTGAAAGAATGATGTTAAAATGATTCAAATTTACAAAAATGTTGGGCTCTATCGAATATATAATTTTAACATAAAGAAGGACAGAAGTAGAGTTTAGAACAAAAACAATGATTTGGTTCAGATTACATACATCTTATTCATTCATAATGCAAATGAGATGTAAGCAAACAAGTTTCAATAGATTAGGCTTGATCATTAAGATGATATGTAAAGCGATAAACTGATACAACATGATAACAGTATAGTTATGGGTTCAATATCTAACAAATAAGCCACCACGACTGTCGATTTATGTAAACACAACTGTACAACTGTAAATAAAAGTCGTTTAATAAAACGTTTTGTTCTTGGAAGTGTTTGCTTTTATTGGTTGTCAGGGCTATAATGAAAATCGTAGTTAGTTAGCCAAACTAAGCGTAATAATTAAACAACATAAGACTAATTTGTGTATTCAGACAATCAGTGAATTTAGATAGACGTAACCTTATGTTTCATGTATAATGAACTAAGTTTATGTTGTACTAACTTCTCCCCATTCTGCATTTATCAATAACTGGTTATTTACCTAATATTCACCAATTTTACACTTGATTTGATGGTTGGACTAATTTTTCTGTGGTCATGTAATTTGCAATGACTCCCGTTATAACAGTAAAGCAAATACATCTTTAATAATTTTTTTATCATTTCAAATGTTATCTGCAATTATTATTTTCCTCTGGTAGAACTAATCTTTAGTTAATTGTTTACTGTACTGTTTTAAAACAATTATTGATCTTTAGTAAACAATCTGTTCATGACCAATTGAACTAATATTTGTTTTAATGCTAAACTACTTGAGTACAAATTCTTAAATAAACATCTCTCAAGTTCAACTATGAAATACGAGTCTACGAATCAGTAGATTTAAATAGTATGGTAAACATTTTCAATTTTTTTGTTGTTGTATTTCTCAGTTAATAAAGTACTGTCAGAGTGAACACCGACTCTGAAATGCAAGTACATCCAGCTGATAAGTCCCAAATAGGACAAGATGCGCGTCCTGAATTCCACTGCTAGCCACTATTCATCTTTATATATAGTATTTGTGAATTAAGGCTATATCGAGGCAATATGCATAGTATGTACATATGCTAATAACAGACTGATCAATTGAAGTCCTAAACATCAATCGGAAGATTCAAGTAAATAATACCAAGTGAACTGTCATCTGCATATGTTATATCTATAAAACTATTACAGTTACAAATGATCATATTCATTTTCTATCTAGTAAACAATATTTACTCAATTAAAAACTATTACTACTTTTTTAGTTTTGTAATTTTAATTCTTTTTAAAAAAAATAGTTTCTTCACAAAGACGAATGCAAAGATCTAATTCAAAAGTTGTACGATTCATTGATCATCAAAATGATGAGACAATCGAATCAACTACAGAACCACAACAAATACAATCAAATAAATATATTAATCTGCAAGCTAAAATATTCACAAAACCGAATTCAGGTATAATTCCATTAGGAATGTATCAATATTCACTTTCAATAGGACCTAGTAAAAAATATAATAAAGAAGACAAGGTAATTAATAATTCAATTGTGTAATAATTTTATTTTCATTAGTGTCCATATATAATATTATTAGTTGTCTTAATATCAATAGATTTTATTTTTCAATTTATATCAACTATGAAAATTTCTATTTTAATGTTCATTTTAATACATGTAAAATGGACAATTGTTTTCTGTTGTTTTGAAGCCTAATAGATCTCTTTCAAACGATATTAAATATATTATAACAGTTGAATTCACGAGTCGATCTAAGCTACACCACCTCAGATAATGGATGCAGGGTTGCACGCTTATGTGAGGAACCGATGGTCCTGGGTTCGAGTCTCGAGTGTAGGATCGTGTATGTGCACTTTTGAGGAGTCCCACACAAGGTCATCCAGTAATTTCAGGTCTTTAGTGGTGGTCTAGCCCAGATTAACTAGTGAATTCAACTGTTAACATACTACAACCTCCACAAATCTCCATCCTGATATAATTGATGAGTTGAGATTTTAAGAACGATTCAAATTAGCATAATTCTATTCTATAAGAAGCTTGTGGATCTCAGATCTAATCTCATACATGTTTGGAATAAAATGCATATCATTAGACAATTGACATTTGAATATTAAACTGACTCAACATGGGCATCAAGCGAAATAATTTAACGATACTAAGAAGGAATAGACAGTAATATACAAAATGTATTTGAAGTAAATGACTATTTTTATGGTTTTCTATGTGAAAGTACTTTGTGAATGTGTTGAACTACTGAATCACATGATAACCTTTTGATAAACTTTAAAAGTTAAGGCATGGAATTTGAAATGGAAAGTACTAGGTTGAAATCTTAATAACGTTATAAATACGGTTTCAAGTACATTTGGCTGACAAGTTACGTATAAGATGAAATAAGCTCTATATCCTACTACTTTTCATTATTCAATATATAACAAACTTACTAACATTGTATGCAAAGATGTTATGCATTTTAGGATCATTTATCTAATTTAGGAATCAGATGAAACATTTGAAAACAAAAAAGCTCAATGCACCCCATGGTAATTACTTACAATTTCAATTATCATGGAGAAAAAATTATCAATATTGTTTTTAAGGGTATAGTATGTAATTTTTTCCGGTAGGAGATCAGTTTCAATGTTAAACGATACTGTATAGAATCCGTCCAAGTGTTTTAACTAAATATTTGAGTTGTGTATGACTCATCAAATGCTAAGACGAATTTCTTTCTAGAATACATAATGACTAATAGAATAAAAGGACGAATAAAGCAAAGAAATATTACTTCATTCTGCTTGTCATTCTTTATAATAATGAGATAAGAAGTATTGCTTGCAAATGCGTTAATAAAGCATCACAGATGCATACAGTAACAAAATCCCCCTTTCAAATGGTTTGATAAGAATTAAATTACAATGCATGCTATAACTTAGGGGATATCGCATAGCTGCATCAAACAAATACTACCAATTAACAAGAACAAATCAAATACTTTGTGTTCAAAATAGACTATAATTTTTGGAATAGATAAAACTCTGCTCAATAACGTATATGGTGTGAACTTAGCCTTCTGATATACATGCGAATCGTTTGAGTTGTAATGAGTTCTCAAATCAAAAGTGATTGAAAATGACATGAACTATTGAATGTCAATAAGTAGGATGCACAAATAAGCTGACTAAAGAGAACTGTGGTCAGTTAGTTCGAAAAACAGGTTTAACATTTTGAGTTAACCAATCAACTGACATTTGAAAAAGAACTTGACTGATATCTTTTTCAGAAAAGTTCATAGGTTAATCTGGAACTATTTTTATTTAAACAATCCGTTTCAGTTCACTGTTTTCCTTGATTTTTCTTCTTAGCTAATTTCTACTGATACATCTGGTTTACTTCATGAAAAAGGCACTGGATTTCATTTTCAATCGAACCAATCGTCTGAACAACCTTCAAATAATTTCAATGTCTTATCCCGTACAGAGTTAGAAGATAATATTTTATCACGTCTTGTCTTACAGATCTCTGATCAGTTAGCTAAAAATCAATCGCAAAGTCATGGTAAGATATTGATAGATGATTATCGAAGATTTCAAACATTCGATAAGAAATCTTGCAAAGGACTGATTTTTACCGAAAACTTATTCTATGGTTTCCTCACCACATTCCAATTCGGCTAATTTTTTAAAATGTAGAGCATGTGATTCTTATTAGGTAGACAACTAAAATTATTCTTATCACAAGTCTTCAATAATCCGAGTTCAATTTGTGTTCATCCAATGTTGAACTGTTCCAAATAAAAACGAAATAGTTTTTAGTAATTTTTCTGATTGGGTCGATGTGTAATAGAAGTCCATCGCCGATGAAGCGGTGTAATTGATATTTTCTTGAAACAGTTGAGCATTGTAAAGGAATGATTCAATAGTTTAAACATCAAGTCGTTCGCTATGAAGTAGCAGATCCAAACTATGCTCTGAGTGTTTAAGTTTTAATTTTTTTATGTTCAAGAAATACTAATAAGCCCAAGCCTACTACATTATTCTTCTCACTGAATTTTTGTAAATGAAATCCAGCGTTCGCTGAAGGCTTTGAGTTCGACTTTCGGTTGCATAGTCGTTGAATCACATTGCTAAGGAGTCCCACACTAGAACGAAGCGGCCGTCTAGTGCTTCCAGGTCTTCAGCTGTGATCTAACTTGTGTCGATTCCTGGTTTCAAATAAAAAACAAAAATTTATTGGATCACGTGGATTTTTTTTCTCTTTTCTCAAATCTAGATACTTCATCTAAAGAAAGTTTACAACACTTAGTTGAAACTGCATTATTAGAGCGTATTGGATCGATGCTTTCTCCAGCATCATCAGTTAGCCCTAATCCAACTAATCAACTACTACGAACAGAACAGCAACAACATCTCAAAACACCATCTTCATCACCTGACCGGACTAGTCATTTAGGTCTACTGGATATTCCTACTCCGATGGATAGTATAAATAAGAGTGAATTACCTTATCCAGATGATCATGTTCACACAAAGAGTAAAGTAAGTAATAGTCATTGTATATATATATTCACGTTGTCTTTTCATATAAGGATACATTTTCGTTTTGTATGTTGGTCTATATTTTTTACTTGTCGCATAAATAATATTAAACTTTATTTGTTTTTTGTTTGTTCTTTTAATGATCAGACACCAGAACCAATATCAAATTGGCAACCATACAATCCAGATGAAGAAAGTATTTTTAGAAATTCACGATCACCACCAACTAATCCCCGCTATATTTCTACACCTGAACCATCATTTGCAGATAATTTTAGTCTTCGATCCAAATTACGTTCTCAATCTTCAAGTCCTATTAAGTAAGCCAATAATTTATATTGCCTTCATTTCTACTCTTAGTTGTGATCAGCTATATGTGTTCGATTACAGCTTAGTTAAGATTCAATGTCAGCAGAAAATTCAGACATCCTATCTTCTATGAATGGCCTTCACACACTCGATCCAATACACATATCTATCATACCATAACGTAAATACCCATAAAGATGAGTTTAAAATTACCTGCTCATCACTTAAACATGTCTCTGAAGTAACAGTGTGTTCATTCTTACCAGTAAGAACAGTCAAATTTCAAATCAGTCATGTAAATTGGTTGCATAATCCTGAAAAATATATAATGAGACTTGGTTTGGTGGACATATAATTGAAATGCATCGTTTTTACAAATTTTCCCATGTCTTATTTACTAGTCATTCAGATCAATATCTCGAAAATGTTTGGTTTTCAAGAAAATCCTTTCACTTTGTTTTCGATATTCCAAAAGTATTACAATTCTGACTGCGATAATCTATGGTGAAGTTGTTTTAAATATCCAAATTTAGAAATCCTGTAAGTCACTTCATGGATCTGTGATGAACTAAATATTGATCAGCTGCTATAATCCATTTATGCTAATTATAACAACACAAACGAATTGAATGTATAGATAATTATTTCTTTACTTTACGTCGTTCTTTTTTAAAATTTGATACGGAATTCAACAAGAAGATAGACTGTCTAAATTTTCTAAATGACACTTCATTATAATCTTTGAAAACATACATTCATACACTGTGCTATCTGTTTAGGTTTGTCATTTATAACATTTTCATTTTGATGTAGAAATAACTGTGAATTACTGCAAATAAACTCTCTATCATGTACCTAACGTATAATATTTGATATACAACTAAATCTCTCCATCATAAAAGGCACATATTATTTAGTCAACAATACGACGTAGATATTACTGAGATTTTAGAACGTTTCATTTCAGCATAACAATCTAATTAGTCAGTACTATCACGAAGATTTTCAAAAACAAACAATTGGGAATTTATGTTGTACAGTTTAAAATAGCAGCGGATTAGGATCATGATGTAGTTACATTTTATCGCTGGCACATGCACAGTAACGTACAACTGTCATAAAAGAAGTTACATTCGACTCTTTTCTCATTTATACAGTTTCTTTTCATTCCTTATATGTTTGTTATCTCGGATCCATTTTTTTGGTACCTCGAATGAATAAATGTTTTTTTTTATTTATTAAAACTACTTATGATACACTCAGTAGCTTATATTGATGTGACCAATAAAATATTTATCCCATTGTTGATATACTCTACACTGATTAAATATATCCGTCTTATTTTAATAAATAGACAAAAATCCGTTATGATTTCACCATTCCCATCAAGTCCACAGAAATATCCATCTGAGAAAAATGTTTCTGAAAAATCAGCTGAATTTAATTCACAATCACTGAATTCTAATTCAACTGCTTTAATTGATACAAAAAGCTCATCATTTACCGAACAATTCAGTCTCACTGCACCAGATACATTCAGTGATGGAATGTGGTTACTAGATCGTTCCGAAGGTGAAGCACCATATCCAGTGTCATATAATAAATTGAAATTAATTATGTCTAATATGGAACCAATTCGAAGTTCATCAACACGAAGAAATGTAAGTCATTTGTATTACTAAATCCTACAGAAATGACAATATCTTCAGTGATAATAAGCTAAATGCAAAGATGAAATACATTTAATTTAACTTACATTCGTGATTTATAGATGTTTTATCTGAGTTACAGCTTGATTTGACATATTATGATATATTATATTGAAATTAAGAATGCTTACAAATAACTTATTATAAAATAAATTTCACGACGTTCTAATGGAAAGCCGTGACTTGTAGAGTTAATCAAGTGTTAGGTGGTTAAAGGTAACCTTCAAGATACCCTAGACCTAGGTTTTGCGCTGGTTGACACGCGTCAGGAGTACCTGTAATCTTGAGGAAACTGAGACTCACTATAGCATTCTATGCGAGTTCGAATGATCACCGGCCACTACTCAATGATCAGTAACTCTCAATATATCTCAATCCTAGAGAAGATGAGTCAAAACCCAGTAGTAGCATTTCAGAATGTGAAGATAAGTGACATGAGTTCGAACCTCGCAGTTATTGCCGACTTTCGAATGATTTCAAGCACTCCTTACATATTAATACCCACTAACACGAAACCTGACTCCAGCGTTTCCTTTCCACTTTCTTCAACCAACTAACATCAAAACATACAACACACTGTATTTTCCACTGGTTTATAACAGGCTATCTGTTGACATAATCTCCCAACTTGATAACACATTATTTAATTTAAAACAACAAGTTTCCTTTCACAAAATTTTACCGATTTATAAACTATTCAGCATACATGTTTATTCCTCAGTTGTAAACCATTGATACTTCACGTTTAACATATTACCAATCTGTATTCGGAGGCTAAATAGTTGGCTGATCAAAACTTTTTATTTTAGAATTTCGTGATGTTTAAAACTGAATCAATATAATCACAACTAGGACTGAGTGTGAAAAAACAGAGAATTGATTAATTAACAAAATAAAGGTATGGTATAAAGGATAGCTAGCTGTCTTGAACTAAAATTTATCGGTCTATCACAATTCCGTGGTTAGGAACATTGGCTTTGGATAACATCAGACTTGTGCTAGAATAGACATCAGTGACAATCCTGTTGCATTTCTCTATTATACTCCTCATATAATAGAAATTAGCTACCTAAACTGACAGAAATCTTTCTTAAGTTCCTTTTTTAACTAAACTATATCTTTCACCAAACACTATTTTAATATTGATGTGTTCATAGATTATACAACCTTACGGTGATCATTTTTCCTTTTCCCATAATCGATTCGTATCAAGATTTGTTTGTACTATTAAAAATAAATCATTATAACAATAACTTAATAATTCATTAAAACTTAATACAATTGTTTGTTCTTTTTTTCATTTTACTATCAACAGAATTCTTTAACTCAAACATTTAGTTTATCTAAAAGTACTTCAAATTCTTCAAATAGTTCTTCATTCGATAATACTAAACAATTAAAACAGGATGAAATTAGTCCCGGACAATTACCAAATATATTAACTACTAAAAAACAATATTCAAATGATAAACAAATTAATCCAATCAATAATCCATTACTTCATTTATTAGCAATAAAAAATTCTAATCAAATTAAAAGGAATCAATTGTCACATTATGAAAACGATGAAATGAATAAACTATTAAGTCAATTAAAACAAATTCGTCAATATTCTAACAATAATAATACTATTGTTCATTCACCTAGTCTTGAATGGTTAGCTAATCTTTCTGGTAGTCCATTACCACAATCAAATTTAAATCAATTAAAAAATGTTAAACATCGTAAATCTAATACGAATTTAGTAAATTCATCTATAGATAAATTGAAAATTGAATCATCTACATCAATAGATGACAAATTAAAACAATCAATCAAACAAAATCATTCGAATAAATCAAGTAAGTTTTCATTGTAATGTTTGCTGACTTTTAATCCTCTTAATAGAACAGTAAGATGGAGTTGATTGTTCTAACGAAATTTAGAAAAAAAAGATTAATTGTTTGAATTATTTGAAAATTTAACATTTTACTTTATACTTTACACAATTCCTCATCATTATGCTAATAATAATAATTGTGGTGGTGGTAAATCACAATAACTCCTATAGAAACCTGCTATAGGTAAGATATTTAAAAGAAGCTATATTTGTAAAAATCTTGGTGACTAAACTTAAAAATTAATCCAACGTTCCTCTCGATCATTTGGTTCAATCTTCAGAGAAATAATCAAAAATTAAAATGACCAACTATAAATAGAATTCACAAAATAACTACATTTTCAGTATAGGATTGTGGAGATTGTTGAGTTTTTAATTAATATCATGAATTGATCAGTGATAGACCATCACTGAAAACCTGGAAGCACTGGACGGCCATTTCGCCTTAGTATGGGACTTTCTAGCAGTGCGCATCCACGGTCCCGCACGTGAGACTCGAGCCCACGCCACTTGATATCGCGCGCTTAACGGTTCCAATGTCTAACTTCATGATGGAGGAGGACGGTTGCACAATATCGTGGATTGGTTGAAGTTACTCAACATGAACTGATAAATTTACTGAAAAGATATTTCGATAATGCAATGAGAAGACGACGTTTATCAGAATATGACATATTTGGCAATACATTTCGAACAATCTGATCACACATATACTTTTTAAGACAATTTTAAATGAAAATTAACAGGTCAACTAGACAGGTTAAAGGTAAGCCGTAACAAAAAAAAATGAAATACACAAAAACAATCCGATAACCATTCCGATAATCAATCAGTATTACTAGGGTAGGTTAAGGGTAAGAACAAATTGTTTTTGAACACATAAAGGGGATTTCAGTTTCCGTATAGCCAAGGCTTCAATAAACCTTAGTATATGTTCCTGAAGGCTTTTGTACAAACCTACAAAGGTTGAGTGTTATGAATACAATAGAAAAATGTTTTTATGAATATTTCCAAACAGATCCTGTTTGGATACATTCAATCATAAATATCTTAAGGGATTTTATTAGGGATTAAAATTCGAACTAGGATTCTTTGTATAAAACAAATTCTGTATTCTTTTTTTGAAAAAAAGCTGAACTGTTAACAGATTCAACTAAGAATTTGATTAAGTTTTTTTGAACGCATCAAGATATTGCTTACCCAACTATCTCTTGACTTCCAACTACCAAGCCTATATTGCTTATATGAATAAATAAAATAAATCAATTCACACAATATTCTTCAATCATCCTTTCTTTCTTCCTTTCCATTGATTTATTGTTAATCAATTCATTTTAGATCATTCTACAAATGAAAATGATAGTTCAAAAATTTCGATGTTACGTCGAGTGGAACTTGTACACTCAGATGATAGTGAAGCGACAACAATTGATGATGAAACTTATGAAGATGATTTTACTGGTGAACAAACTAATTAAAATAAATATTTAGCGGTGAATACTTTTCAATAAAGTGATCAAGTTTGGTTGAGTGTTTCATTGTATGAAAATATGATTTTGATGACTATCATGATTACATGTTTATTACACAAGATGTTTTCTTATGAAGATTTCTGTGATTTCACTTACAAAAAATAAAATTAATTATAACTTATATATTTCTGTTATGTGTTTTATCTTCATTTCGTTCCAGTTACGTGTTACGTTTATAATTCATTAAATGTTTTCAGTAGACAACAATACGTTGAAGCAGTATTACTTAAGTGGTTATATGTATTACATCATCACTTATTCTGAATCGAAAAAAATTTTGAAGTCATAAAAACACTATTTCATCCTATTGTTTACAGCAAATTCCATACAACCTCATAGTGAACATATATTATTTGTAAGGTTTGGTATTTTCATATTGTTAATGTTATTAGATTCGAACGTCAGCAATAAGACCTAGGTACATTCGTCTGATGAGTCACAAATGATATAAGATGTACGTCCTAGATTCCAATGCTAGGCATTATTCAAATCCTCTTAGAAATGCTTGCGACTTCATGGCAATATCGATGCAATCTACAAAGGATGCACATATGCCGAAAGAGACTGACTATTATAATAATAGTAGTAATAACAACAACCCATACGAATATCTTTTGGATGACAGACAGCAGTGAGGTACAGAACGCGTGTTTATCCTATTTAAAAGCCTACAACTGGATGTTCTTGCATTCCATAGTTAGCGTTCACTTGGAGATTGAGATCCAGAACCTTTTGCTGTCACTCCTAGCCACCATTCAACTCTGCTGAAAAAATGCTTGTGACTTTGTGGTATTATCGAGGCAGTTCGCACAGGGTACGCATTTACTAAAAGAGTTCGATCAATTGCAATCCCAAAGACTAATGAAAAGAGTTAAACGAACGATACAACGAATTAACCCTTACAAATGTATTACATTATTTAAATTCTCTATTAAACAGCTATGATCACTACAAATTCCGTTATATCCACAAGTTACAATTACATATTAAAACTTCAGGGTACCAATCTTCGAGAACGTTAATTATATATATCAAATTATTTTTATTACGATTACATGTAATGCTAAATAAAATAAATGAGTGATATAGGCCAAAATCGACTTTAGAATTTAGTCCAGCACAAAAATATTGTCTTCGATACCATAAATAAATAAGAACACGTACACTTTATTGCTAAAACCCAGGATTTATATATTTACGCTTTTTGAACTTACGTCTGTACATGCGAATGACACTAAGTTTGACAGAATTTATTCAGTACGAAAAAAAAGGGATAAAAACAGAAATTACAAAGTCGAAGATCGAATGGTAAGATATTTCGTCCTAACGCTTTTTAAAAATCTTTTTGATCACAGAAATTACTTTAAGCACATATTAGACTGAGACAATCAATAAAAAGCCTTGAACCCAAGTTTCATGCTAGTTGGCGCACATTAACAACACATGTTTATTATATTGTGTTAAACAACACTATCTATAGCACATAATCGAAGCCTATGGTATTAAAGTGTTATCGGTAATTGATCGCTGTACCAACCTGGATTCTAGCTCTTGTTTTCTTACAGGTCCAATTTTAAGCTTGATTACGAGAACACTCCACAAACATATATTACTCAACCTCTGTGAGTAATTGGTATTATACTTTAGCTTCGTATTTCCGATTGTATTTCGACATAAGGGATATTTGTTCTAATCCATCAAGAGTTATCTGAGCAGCAACAAAACTAAACCATCTGATCAATCCTTACTGTGTTTTTGAATTATTTAAGATCTGCGTCGTACAGTCAGTATATTGCTTGACATAAAATATCAAGTAAGAAATTGTTAATATATTACTTTTATAGCGTTTGATTCAATAGTATGTCTCTTCAGTAGCTTCTGGTAATCCATTTCTTGTTTCGTAGATTTTCATTAAAATTAACTTTGTTTCATGGTGTTTGAGTTCTGAACCTTTACTGTGTCACTTCACTACACCTCACTAATAACAAAGTTATTCTCTACAACCTGAGAGTTATCTATCAAGTCAACTGCTGACTTAGGATAGTTTTAAATTATTTATTTATTTTAAATGTACTGTTTATTCTTGTCTTTTCGACATGTTTAACCTTATCAGGCACACTTTTAGCATTGAAAATTATATTATTTGGTTATTCATCAATGTTCATTGTTGCTTCGTTTGAACATGTAATATATATATATATATATATATATATATATATATATATATATATATATATATATATATATATATATATATATATATATATATATATATATATATATATATATATATATATATATATATATATAATCATAGCCCCTATACTCATACTTCAGTTGAATACTATCTCAATGTAACCTGAAATTGGAAATCTACAACATTCGAAAACAACTTACAACAAGAACACATAATGTGGCATTCGTTTCATTTTTACCATTCATTCATATTTCAAAATTACATTAAACTCATGTGAATCAAATGAATTCTCACATATGTTGTAAGTAGCACACAAAAATATATGCTTATGAACAAATCACGCTGTTAATTTTGATACTCCTGATAAAAAATGGATAATATAATGCAAAATCGATCATAATAATGCATTCATTCTTTGTCCTTTAAATGCCAATTTTAATGTTATTCCTAGCTGTTCGTCCTGCTGACTTTTTTTTTATACTTAATTCTATTTTTATGTTTAAAGTTCCATATATTTCGACATTGATTCTCATCCTGTGCTTCTAATCCTATTAACATCCACATCACACAATACACAAAAAAAACTTTGATAAGCACAATTTGCGTACATAACGTGTAAAATCCATTTATAGTCAACAAAACGGATTTCTCGCACACCTGAGATGACTATTTTTTACAGCGAGTACAAAGTGATTGAATAATAATCTGTACACTCAACTATCACCAACAATAAACGAAACCATTTTAAACACTAATAGAGCAGTAAGGGGTTGTGGAGATTGTTGAATTTCATTAAAATCATAAATCAGTTTAAGTTACACCATGATTGAGAACCTGGAAGCCGTGACCAGTGGGATTCGACTGCTTCGTGTGTGAGGCAGTTACCTACCAGACACAGTGAATGATGGTCGCGCAATATCGTGGAATGATTGAAGTTAAAGATTGACAACGTTGGATTCCGACTCATTGGTCCGGAGATTAGGCGTTCGTGCGAGACTGAAGGTCAGGGATTCGAGTCCCACTGCTGATGAGACCCATACTAAGACGGAATGTCCATTCAGTGCCTCCAGGTTTTAAATGGTAGTCTAACTTTAATCGGCTCATGAATTCAATTAAACTAATGGAGCAGCTTGTACGAAAGAAATTTTGTTAGGCAGTTTATTTGTAACAGTTTGGCAGCCAATCTTTCATAAACAAGCTAAATGTTACTGTCAACTATCTTAAAATAAATGTGATAATACTTTACCAAAAAAATAATCCATTCAAAACCAACAATAATACGAGTGTTACTTACCAAACCTGTAAAAAGTCAGTTTCAGTAATTTTCTTGATTCAGTACTACTACTATTACATTCATAAAAAAACGGTAATCATACTAAAATGAGATAAAAATTCGAAGTGCTATAAAATAAGTAAGCTGAAAAAGTCTTAGAAGAAACATATTTTCAAATATCTTGAACCTTTAGAAGATAATCAGACAACCTGGTAGTTGCTGGAATTCTCTAAAAGTCAAACATATGCCGATATTTTGTTCAATTTCCAAGTAAAATAACATTAGTGATGAAAGATAGCGGCAAATAACAATTAATATTACGAGCTATTTCAGTATGAGAGTGTTTTTCAATTTAATATTTCATAAATGGCTTTTGCTTATTTACAGCTTACAAGCGATTTTATGTCCTATATCATGACTGGTTAAATGGAGTTCATTAGTTTGTGCTCGTATAACATACGCTAAGTTTTGCTTCCGAATTTCAATCCTGTTTGGATTCAAGTAAATATAACCATCTCAGAAAAAGTTATAAGCTGATTATTCAGTCGTGAAAAATAAACTGAATTCATTGAATGTAATAACTTTAAGTATTCTCCATTCGTCTTGATATGCTGGAGATTTCACTAAGGCTTTAAAGAAGATATGATTCTACATTACACCAGAGCACTGAAATTTTCTGTCCCCAACAAAGTTTAAATTCGATATTTATTTTGTTATATTGTTTGAAAAGACTGCCGTAATTTACCAGAAGACAGAAACATAAGTCACCGTCTTTACTCTTTAGAACCATGCAAATGAAACATGTAGTAAATCAGTCCATCATCAAAGAACTCCAAAGAAATTTCTCGAAAGTTACTGAGTAAATGTTGAAAAATAGGTATTCATCATCCCCAACGGTATAGAGATGGCTTTCATACATTTAACGATAGATTTATCAGTTGAAAATACATCAAAATGCTTTCTGGCTATCAGAACTTACTTACTTACTTACTTACGCCTTTTACTCCCAATGGAGCAAAGGCCGCCAACCAGCATTCTCCAACACACTCTGTCCTGGGCCTTCATTTCTAGTTTCATCCAATTCTTGTTCATTTTTCTCAAATCTATCTCCATTTCCTGACGTAATGTGTTCTTTGGTCTGCCTCTCCTCCTTCGACCTTGAGGATTCCATGTGAAGGCTTGTCTTGTGACGCAGTTGGGTGTTTTCCTCAATGTGTGTCCTATCCACTTCCAGCGCTTCTTCCTGATTTCTTCCTCCACTGGGATCTGATTTGTTCTCTCCCATAGTAGGTTATTGCTAATAGTGTCCAGCAAACGGATCTGAATTATTTTGCGTAGACAACTGTTAATAAACACCTGTATCTTCTGGATGATGACTTTCGTGCTTTTCCAGGTTTCGGCCCCATACAATAGAACTGCCTTAATATTTGTACTGAAAATTCTGACTTGAGTGTTGGTTGCTAATTGTTTTGAGTCCCAGATGTTCTTCAGTTGTAAATATGCTGCTCTTGCTTTGTCAATCCGTGCCTCCACATCTGCATCAGATCTACTGTGTTAATTGATGATGCTGCCCAAATATGTAAAGGTTTGTACATCTTCCATAGCTTCTCCGTCAATTGTGATTGGATTGTTGCATGCTGTGTTGTATCGAAG